TGGAAAATTTAAGGGGTAGTTATATAATAATTTTGGACGATCTCGGGCGGTCGGATACTTATGACCGCTACTGTATATTATATTATATCAGCTGATCTTTTAGATTAATATCTTTCTATTACAATACAAAGTGTATAAAGAATATTTATTATCATTAAGGATAAATAAAATATTAAGCAATTAATATTTAAAGAGTAATATTTATTAATATGTATATTTTTATAAATTTATAAATAAAAACATTTAATTTTTAATACTTTAAATTATTTATTGAATTTTTATAAAAATTTATTATAACTTAATTTTTATTTTCTTTATTTAATAATTTATTTATATAATTTTTTCAGCTTTTAAATAAAAATATATTATTTTATATTAATTTATATTTATTAAAAATTATATAATATTTATTAATTTAGATAAAATTAATAAATAAATAATATATTATTTTTTATATTTTTCTTAATAATATAATTAATATATAATTATTTTATTATCATTATTATTGAGTTTAATTAATATAAAATCTAATTATAGTTAAATCTCTTTAAATGTATCCCTTGAGATTAAAGCTCTGAACAGTTCAGTTCGGTTCAGATTAGATGCCAATCTGTATCTGAACTGAAAATTTCAGTTCAGTTCAGTTCAGTTCAGATTATTAATCTTAAAAATGACAATCTGAATCTGAACTGAATTGCAGACTGGTAAAAATCTGAACTAAACTGGAATTTTCAGATTAATCTGAAATTACAGTTCGATTATAAAAGGAATCACAATTTATATGCAAAACTCTAGAAGAATCGCAAAAAATTGCGAATTTCTCTTTGAGGTTTGCGAAAATTTGCGAAATTTGATGAGTAATCGCAAAAATTTGTGATTCTCTAAGATTTTTGCATTTTTTTTGCGAAATTTGAAGAAAAATCGCAATTTTTTGCGACTCTTCAAGAATTTCGCGATATTTTTTGTGAAATACCAAGAGAAATCGCAAAAATTGCGATTCTTCAAGGGTTTCGCAATTTTTTGCGAAATTCGAAGAGAAATCGGAATTTTTTGCAATTCTCTAAGAGTTTCGCGATAATTTTGCGAAATTCTAAGAGAAATCGCAAAAAATTGCGATTCTCTAAGAGTTTTACTAAATTTTTATGATTCTCTTAGAGAATTCGCAAATTTTGCGATCCTCCAAGAGTTTCGCATATAATCGAACTGAACTTTCAGATTAATCTAAAATTATCAGTTTGGTTCAGATTTTTTTCAGTTCAGATTAGAATTATAATCTGAAAAAAATCTGAACTGAACTGAAAATTTTCGGATTAATTTTTATGTAATTTGAAACTGATCTGAACCAGACTGATCTGAAAATCTTCAGATTAATCTGAACCATTCAGAGCTTTACTTAAGATCGAATGAAAGGGTGCATTTAGAGAGGGTATGCATTAAGAGAAAATATGTAATTTAACAGATTTTTATGATGCGATAACAATAAATTTGTTTATTTTTATTATATTGAACATCAGCTAACCAGATTTGAAATCAGTACAAATTTTTAAGCTACAAATAAAAACTTAGATAATTGAAAAAAATTAATAAATAAAAAAAAAATTCGATCAATTAGAGGGTTAAAGGGGAATTTACAAAAGAATGGAATCGATTATCACCTGTACTTGTCGCGAATTTGTTAGCTAGCATGAAAAGGCGTACAGCTGCACTTATAGAGTCAGATGGTGACTACACAATGTATTAATTTTAGTTAGTTGGTTATATATTTTTTAAATAAAAAAAAAAATTTTGAATTTACTTACTTGTAGCCGGAGTTAGAGGCGGTCAGATACTTATGATCGCTACTGTATTTATAATAGAATATGATATTAAGAAGCTATAAGTTCTATTAAAGTTATCAAATCAAACTTATAAAATTTGTTTTTTTTGGCTATTAATTATTTTTTTAAAATATATCAATAATTTATAAAATATAGGTTTTAGTATATTACTAAAATATGTAATTATTCTAAATTTTAAATTCTAAAAGAATTATTTGTATTTTATTATCAATAAATATTAATATTAATCTTTTATTATATTAAGTATCACTCATAATTATCTATATATTAATTTCTTGATCACTCTCATATGATAGCTGAAAAATTACTAATTTTATAAAAATATAATAATAATAATTTAATAATTTGTATTAAAATTAAATAACATGTTTTATTTAAATTTTTATTTGATTAATATTTGACTAATATTTTATTATATTTTAAAATATAATTTCTAATAAAAAATAATAATCACTTTTAAAATAATATTAATATTAATATTATTACAATTTTTTATAAAAATCTTTAGAATTTTTGATTTTTAATATATTAATTATCATCTGACTCTTTTTTTTTTTATTAAAGTTAGTATTACTATATCATTTAATTAATTTAAATACTTAGAAAATCCTAAAAAAATATAGTTAGTTCTAAATAATAAATTAAAAAAATTTCAATAAATGTTTATTTACTTATCTAATTAATTTATATAATTAGTTAAAGGTATCTAGATGTTTTTCTGAATCTGTTTTGTCAAAACCCACTTTGCTAAAACTAATTCACCAAAAGGACTTTTTACTGAATAATCACTTTACTAAATGGACTTTTCACTAAAAGATATTTTTGCTAAAATACCATTTCGCTGAAAGGATACTTCACCAAAATGCCATTTTGCCTAATAATATTTTGCCAAATCCTTTTTGCTGAACAGATATACCACTGAATCCATTTCATTGAAAGGATATTTTGCTAAAAATAATTATTGCGTAATATTTGTTTAACTTATCATTTTTAGGTTTTACATTATAAAGTAAGTTTTTTCTTAATAATTTTGTTAGAAATAATAAAAAAAGTTCAATAAATCTAACAAATTGCTAACAGCCAACAGCGAATTATTTTTATTTTTAACAAAATGACTTTTTGGTGAAATAGATTTGGTGAAGTATCTATTCAGCAAAATGGATTTGACAAAATGTTATTTCAGTAAAGCGTTCTCTCAATAAAATGTTTATTCAGTAAAACTTTTCAGTAAAAAGTCCATTCAGTAAAATAGATATTTAGCAAAGTGACCATTCAGTAAAATGTTTTTTTAATAAATTGGCTTTGGTAAAAAGGGTTTCAGCAAAATATATCATAACCTTAGTTAAATCCTTTAATACCACATTTTTAATAAAAATTAAAAGAGAAGCATATCTCATTTACTCATTAAGTATAATATCAGATTCAATAATATTATAAATATTTGTTGATTTCATTAAATGATTAGTAATATTATGATCTTTAAAATCTAAATTAGAATCAAAATATATAGTATATATTATTATGTCATGTGGATAATACTGAAAAAAGAGACTAAATTAACATTTTATACCTTTTGAGATAATTAAGGATTTGTATTTATCATAAGAAATTCTAAATACTCAGTTCATAATAAAAAAACTAGATGAAAATAAGTTTAAATCAGTTTTAATAATGATCATTTTAAACAGCTGACTGATACACATTATTATTTATACACATTAAAATAAAAATTATATAAAAAAATAGTTTATAGCATTTTTAAACTTCTAATTTTTTTATTAAAAACAAAATCTTTTTCACTTTTTCAAGATAACAATTAATTTTTCTAAAAATATCCTAATAAATTTAGTGACAAAATTCAGAATATTTCTTAGAATGAGTTTTTCTTTTTTAGAAAAAGTGATGAATTTGAAGGTAGAGTTTTAGTTTTTTTAGTATTTCAGCAATATACTTTTATTTTAAAAAATGATGACTATTTTTTTAATAATAAACTTTTAACTTTTTCTCTTTAAATTTTTTGTAAATTTAGCTTACTTTAGAATTAAAAATGAGTAGATATTTCTAGAGAAAAGAATAGTTTTTTTATTAAATAATGGTTACTAACATTTTTTAGCTTTTTTTTGTAGATTTCAGTTTTGAATTTTGATTTTGAAATTGGAGGCAAATATGTATTTTTGAAGAGGCAGGTGGATTTTTTTTGATTTTTTTTATTCAAGAAAGTTTACTAATACTAATTATTTATTAAACTGTATAATTCTTCAGCTTTATCTTTGTTAGGATTTTAAACTATTAGAAAAGGTACATGAAGTAAAGTATGTTATGTTATTATTGAAGCATAATAAAAATAGATAGATTTTGCTGAAGTTGTCAAAATATTCTTAACTTCATTAGCAAAGTAGTAGCTAAAGTAGCTGAAGTATTAGCTTTAGTAGCTAATACTATTTTTACAAATTCTTTCTAGACAAATTCGTTGAATCTATCTAACTCTTACCCTTAAGAGTTTTAATATTAATACTATTATCTTACCATTTTTTTCCATAAATATCTCTACCATCTACATTATAAGTTATTCTTTTGTGACATTAGCATATCATATTTCTATCATTTATTTATATTTTATAGATCTTAAAGTCACAAATTTTGAATGCTTGAAAGTATGTATGAAGGTTTTATTAAAATATTTTTAACTTTAGATTCATAGTAAATGAATTAGAAGAATATATATATTTATTGATAATAAAGATGGAGTAACAGATTTCTTTGATAGTGAATATTAGTGAGGGTAGTATTTTTTTTTAATAATAATTTCTAACATTATTTTTCATCTTTTTAAATCAATTTACATTTAAAACTAAAGCCATTATTGGAATAGTTTATATAAATTCAGGAGCTGCTATAGCTATTAAAGTAATAACTTGAAGAGTAGAATAAGCCAGTCAAGTACTTTGTAATTTAAGATATAGATTATATGATTATAGATATTGTGTAATTCAATTAATCTTGCAGATTTAGAAAATTAATTTAATTTCTTTTTTAATAATAGTAGTTTAAAATAGCTCTTTTTAATTTGAAGTAAAGTTTATAAATGATTTTTCTCTTTGTTTTTCTTAATAAATTTTTTATTTTTTTATTTTTTTTTAAATTAGTTTAATTAGATTTTACGTCAATTTTGTCTAAGAGTTATATATATTTATATATAAGTTTCATGTTCAATTTCAATATTTTGTATAATTTTAATAGTATATTTATTAAAAATAATAAACTATAATTTATTTTATTAAAAATAATATAAATAATTATATTAAATTTTTATTTATGATCTGTAATTAATGTTTTTTTTTACATATTTAATGAAATAACTATTTATCTTCAATTAAATTTAATAGATTTTAATATAGATAAGCATAAACAATACTTATCTTTTTTATCTGAATTAATAATATACTCATAAATTTAATCATATAAATACCATTGGCATTCTGCAGATAATTCTTTAGATAATAATATATCAGAAAAATCTGTTAAACAAAAAGATTTATTTTTTTAGAAATAGATATTTTTTCCTTTTCTTTACCAAATTTTATTTGAATATCTACTATTTCAAGTTTTTCATTTGATATTATAAAATGATTTTGTTAAAGAATATATGTAACTTTACTGAATAATTTATTTAAAAATTCTATCTATTTATAAAAATAAACTTACTGAATACCATCTATATTATATACTATTTAAGTAGTATTAAATTCTTCGACAGTAAAATCAAGAACAACTTAAACAAAATCTGTAAGATTTTAGATTTCTGTTTATCTTATTATAAAATTTACTCATTATTTATTATATTAGATATTGAATTATATTATTATTCTTATTTTAACCTGAATAATTATCAGCATAAATAATAAGAATTTTTTTTCAAGATCATAGTAAAATAATGATGAACTAAAAAAATTATAGCATCTATAACTTTTCTAACATTTTCATTTTCTTATATTAAATAATTTTCTATAATTAAAAATACATTATTAATTTTATTATTTATTTATTTTTAATTTATATAATTAAATTATACTTGTTGAGAAAAAGCTTTTTCATAAATTTCAAAAATCAAAACTTTTCATGGTAATTTAAAATTATTAATAATATTAGCGTATATATATTATCACTATATATAGTATATAAAATATATTATTAATATTTTATTTTTTTATTACCTCTTATTGTGATGAAATTTTATCAATTATTTAAAAAGTTGATATTATAAATTTTTTATATTATTATAATGATATTTAAAATAAATATATATTTAACTATAATTAATAATATTTTTAAATAATTTATTTTTAATATAACCTTATAATAAATAAATATACTATTTAGATAAAAATAGCAAATCTTAAATTATAATTTAGTTTTTATAATATATATAATAATTTAGGTTAAAATTTTAATATATTAGGAAATGGGAACCGTTATGTATCTGGAGCGATTTTTAACCTTTTTTTTATATTGGGATGTATGTTTTTATTCAAATAATAAAATTATTGTAATAAAATCATTGTAATAAAATAATTGTAATAAAATTGTATATAATATGATCGTCATTAATAAATGTAACAATGAAGTGATCGAATGTAATATTAAAATGTAACACAAATCATAATATCATCTAACAACATTTGTAACATGTAACAAGTTACATACAAGCTACAATAATGAGAATACTGAACTTTTATTCTTAAGACATTTGTTAGTTCGCATCTACTATGATAAAATGTGCAATAAAGTTAACCCTAACACTCTTCAGAAATGTAAATCAAGAGAAAATGAAACGCTTGAGTATCATGAGACTCGTCTTATCAAGGAACATGAAAAAAACAGAAAAGAAAGGCAGTAGAAACTACCGAAGAATGGGATGCACATTGCAAATATGACCGTGAATGAAAATGCCTAAAAGTAGCAAATAAAAATATTGAAAACTACTATAATCTAACGCAGCCGCAGCAGGATCAAGCTATGAAGCTGCAGCAACCACAGTCACAGCAGCAACGATCTATGAAACCACAGCAACCACAGCCGCAGCAGCAACGATCTATGAAGTCACAATCGCAGCAGAATCGAGGTATGTCAGAGCAGGATTGAGACATTTCAGAGCAGCAAGATCAGAGTGTCGAAGTCTCATCTGAGCTCAGTAAATCTGAATAAGACCTTCTACGGAAGTTTCGCAATAAAATAGACAAATTAAAACATAATCTTTGCCCTATATGCAATGAGAGCTTTTCATCTATAGTACTTATAAAAGGAGAATGCCGCCGCTGTTATAGTAAAAAGACTTACCCAAAAAAATTTTCTGCAGAAAATAGTATGGATCCCGGTGATGTACCTGATGAACTCCAAGGGCTTACAGAAATTGAGGAGATGTTGATTGCTAGAGTCTTTTCTGTAATGTCTATTTACAGACTTCGTGAAGGACAATGTGGATATCATGGAAATGTAATCAACTTCTCTCAAGATGTACAAGAATTTGCTACTCACCTTCCTCAGCATCCATTGTCATTAGATGTACTTGTTGTACATCATGAAACTGCAGATAAATCGGCGGCATTTAGAGATTTTACTGTCCGTCGTGTCAAAGTTGCTCGCACGCTATACTGGCTAAAAGAGAATAATCGTTATTATACTGATATTATAATAGATGATGAGATTCTTTGTTCTTTGCCTATCAATGGATCTATTGATGACCGCCTTCAGAATACTCAAATAGTTGTCGAGGATTTAGATAATGAAAATGAGGGTGATGAATGTGATGCAGTTACACGCACTTTTATTCCACTTCTTCCTTTAACTTGTTGTGAAGATGTCATCATTCAAAATACCCTTGATCGCGTGCAAAACTAAAATTGCCTATAGAATGGCCACAGATCAGCAACAATCCTGTCAATGAATTTCAAATGCTAGGGTATATTGCATGCGTGTTCCTAACATTATATCCAACTAGATGCGCAGATCTTCATGCAGAGCGAATTAGGGACATCAAACCTGCTGAATACTTTAGACATCTACTTCTATATAAAGACGAGAGATTTGCACGCCATCCTCGTTGGCGATATTTCGCGTTGAATTCCCAGATGCGATGGTGAGCACTATAGGAAAGGAAAGTATATGTTAAGCAAAACCTAACTGATTCTCAAATTACTGTCGCAGATATTCAGAAGAGAATAATTTAAGGCGATAATCATATTGCCGATAGAATTATATGATTTGGTGAAAGGCTGCGTGAATCTCGGTAGTTTTGGAATGCAAGGCATTGGGAACTTTCCGACATAATCAAGCAAATAGGATCATAGGGCTTGATCTTCTTTACATTTAATGCTGCTGATTTGTATTGGCCTGAACTTCACAAGCTTATACTATCTAGTTTTATGGAAAGAAAGACCAATAACCAAAACATTGTCAATAATCTTCATATCGCTGTTTGATTCTTTAACAAACAATTTGATTTATTTTTTAATAATATTTTAAAATGACAATGGGATTTGAAGGATTGGTGGTACTTATTCGAGTGATAATACTATGGTAGCGTTCATGTTTATAGAATCAGAAAAAATGCAATGCATCTATAATAGAATGGGAATAAATGCAGAAAGATAAGAACGTTATGAATGAAGTAGTACGATACCTTGATTCTCTAGTTACCACAATAAACCCAGAGCTTAACATGCCTATTTCTGATCAGCATCTGTGTAAAAAGCGTAAAGATGAAATATGCGATGATCAACAGGATTACGTTGAACTGATCAATAAGCTGTAATGACATATACGATATAGTCCTTCATATTGCCTTCGTGTTAACTGAGATGATCAGCAATCTTGCAGGTTCAGATATCCTAAAAAAAATGTTGAGAATACTTTTATACGTGATGATAGTTGTGGTCAACCTGAGCTTGTAATAAAAAGGAACAATCCATTGATCAATCTGTACAATAGGCTCTAACTGCAAGGTTGGTGAGCAAATGTCAACCTAAAGCCAATCTTAAATATTCATGCTACCTTGCAATATATATCAAAATATGCAAACAAAGCAGAATCGCGATATATTGCCTTCTCAGAAATATTGAATCGAATTTTAAGTAATAGCAATTCAGATAAACAAATACTTACCCCAGTCCAGAAATTTCTATTACACAGTATTGCAGAGCGTGATGTTTCTGCTCAGAAAATGTGTCACATTCTCCTTGATACTCCATTATATAACTCAAGTAGGTCATTTGTATCCTTGAACCTTAATAAAGAAATACCGAGATGGATTCATAGCACTGGAGAAAGTGAAAAGCTTCTCACAATCAATTCTGGACAGACAGAATAATTACTATTAGAAAGATATTGGAACTGACCTACTGAATTTAAAGATTTCACATTATATCAGCTCCATTTAACTCACAAATTCACTAAAAATAAATG